GGTAAAATAAAATATATTCCGAAAACTCATTTCACTTGTTTCCTTTTTCATTTTCAGTGTGGCTACTACAACACTTACAATGACATCCATGGCTCATATTTGTGGGTCACATTATATTTCAGTGGGACAGCACTGTTCCTGACAAACAGGAACCTGGGAGGGTGTCTACAGGGAGACACGCCACAGTACCACAGACACAGCACTTTCTGCACTCAGTCTGTCCTCCCATAAGGTCATGCACAGTCCCCAGGTACAAAGCTGCAGCTGTGTGGTGATGCCATTGTCACAAGGGTGACAACAAATCGGCCCCAACGTACACAAATCTTTCAAAATAAACTGATTAGAAACGTGGGTATTGTGTTATCACAGTTCACGAAGTGCCATTCAGTGTGTACCCACAAGTGACTGAGTGGCTCAGAGTATGGGGTGGAGCACATTTAGAGGCTGAGGAAACACTGAGGACTTGGGACATCGATCTGAGGGCAACAGACAGCCACCGACACGGACTCTGGCCAGACCTGGCTATTACAGTGCAGTGAGCATGATGGACTGGCAAGAGCAGTTAAAAAGGGATTCTGATAGTGCAAGTCAAAGCAGGAATGAAAAGTATAGCAGAGCTCAGAGGTAAGAGACCTTTTGGAGGCAAAATCAATAAGATTTAAGATTTGGGAGGCGAGGGAGAATTGAGGGATGACCAAGTGTGTCGATGTTGGGATATTAACTGTGCACACAGCTGGTGACATTCAGACTTTGGAAATGATCAGTAAAAAGCTGGCTAGTTTGTAAGAATGACTGATTGACTGAATGAATGAATCATGAATGAACATCCAGACGTGGAGCTGGAGAGCTGCCAGTCACGAGACATTCCCCTGCCTTCCGCAATCATCTTGAACAACTCAGACTGGCCTAGGTCTGATGCAAACACGCAGCGCTCTATGTGTGCTTTACCAAGCGCTGTCATGCACACCCACTGAAGGGACACTCGCTCCGTGGCGAGGATTGCAGTCACAGCAGCGGCGGGCCCAGGGCAGGTGGCCCCCTGTCCTGGGCTGCCTCTGGCCTCACTTTGCTCTCTTCATCCAGGGCCAGGATATGCTTTTGTTTCCATACAAAATGCAACACTTCCCACATATCTGATATTTTATCGTGATCCTGATCCAAAACAAGTGCCTGAAGTTAAACTCACATACACTGAGGGGCAGCACCCAGAAATGGAACCAAGTCAACGTTGGTTTTCCTCCCTCATGGTTCTATGTAAAACCTGACAGGCACCTGGAAGCCCAGCGCCAAGCCTTCTTTCCTATTTCTATTCTCCGACAGTAAGTTGCCATCCCCTCCCCACTTCTGACTGCTCTGTAAACATTCCTGGCAAGTGTCCACAAATACGCACATTCCAGATCTGGGTGAAGGAAGCATCAGGACTTCCTAAAACAATCAGCCTTGCTTTTGAACACAGAATTACACACCTATGAACCGAACTGTGCCCCCAATATTCATATGCGACTATTTGTAGATGGGGCCTTTAGGAGGTAATTAAGGTTAAATGAGGTCATGGAGTAGGGCCCTAATCTAACAGGACTGGTGTCCTTAGGAGACGAGGAAGCCACACCAGAGAAGAAAGGGCCTATGAGGACACAGTGAGAAGGTACCCGTCTACAAGCCAGGAAGACACTCACCAAGAGCCAAAATCGTCCAGCACCCTGATCTTGGACTTCTCAGCCTCCAGAACTGTGAGAAATCAATTTCTGTTTCAGAACCAGCCTGTGGTGATCTGCTGTGGCAGCAGGAGCACGCAAACACAAACACTAAACAGGAATCAGCGCTCTCCAACTTGGTGGTGCCTAACAATGAGTTAAGGACAAAAGTTCACTGAAACAGCTCTGCCCTGAAGAGTCAACTCACACGTAGAATCGGTTCCCACCTACACATGCTCACATCTGCAACACAGCCAAGGCACTGCACAAGGTCAAAGGCACTGCGCGACATCTACACCCCACGCCAGGTCTACGCCCCCGGCACAAGGTCCACAGCACTCCACTTCACCAACACGTGCTAAGAGACCAGGAGCCTCATAAAAGCAATACATTCAGCGCCACCTTGGTGTTCCTTATCTGCAGCCTGCTTAGCAGGAGTGCAGGGCGCCAAAGCAAGAACTTACTCCCAAGTTCAAACTTTTGTTATCTCTTCCATTGTCTCTGAGTTCCAGTCTCCTCACACAGAAACAAGGGCTAGCACCCATTTTGCCATGTTATTTCAAATATTAAATATAATGGCATACATGAAAAGTAATTTGTAAACTATAAATTATCATATGCTTATATTACACACAACCTTTAATGTTTACCTGACTATGGCATTTTAAATCTTCATTAACCATTGACCAGCAAAACCATCCCACTCTCAAAAGCTGTCTCAAAAGCGGAAAGTGCAATATTTAAATTCTGAGTGCACTTGAAGCTTCTTCTTTTACAAACGTTAAAAATACAAATGGTAGGGCTGGCCGAGTGGCGTGTTGGTTAGGAGTTGGCTTGGGACGCCAGCTCTGAGTAGCAGGACCCAGGTTCAGATCCCACATGAGGGTCAGTGATGCTGCGCCCTCTACAGCTAAGATGGTAAACAACAGCTCGACCTGGTGCTGGGCTGCCGTGAGTTGCCAAGGACAGCGTAGGCTGCAGTGGGGCTGGCCAGCAGCTGGTGTGAGCTTTTTTGAGCTGCAATTAGCCGCTGTGAGCGGCTGTCCAATGGCCCATGAGACTGCCTCACCCGGGAAGAGTGCAATGATGGCACCAACATGGGACAGGGAAGCGACATCCTCCACAGCTAGACTGAAGAACAAAAGGACAGCAACTTGTCTGTTCCCTTCCCTGATTCCCCAGCACTGTTCCCCTCCCCAAATTCCCAAAAAAAAAACTAAAAAAAAAAAAAAAAAAAATACAAACGGTAGAAAGAAGCAAGGTGGCACTAAATAATTTTTCCAGGCCAGGATAACACATGCTTTGTCCAGAGTTAGTTTCCAGTTCAGGCTGACATGGACAGACACACAATCTACTGAAAAGAAAAATATTTAGCAAACCCACCAGGTGGTTATGCAGCTGGGTTTGATTTTTGTTTTTTGTTTTTTAAATAACTCAACACGCTCAGAACTTAATATTCATGCATTCAATCAATATTTGTTGGGTATCCATGTGTACAAGGAATGAGCACAGGGTAGGCTGTGATAAATGCCTGTGGGTATGTATGTGTTGGGGTTGGTGCTATAACTTGCTAACCTTCATAAATATACATACTTTGGGATCTGTTCAAAGAGAAATGCAGGAAAAGAAAAAAAATCTAATTGTTTTAAATTGTGTTACTAAAAGTGGCCTAAAGAAATAAAACGATTTTTACTTTAGCTGCATATTTGTGATAAGCCATTAAAAGGATGTGTTGACCTCCTTCTAAGTTGCCTTAATTCAAGCATTTAACAACATACTGCATGGTATCATTTTTAGCTTAGGCACTTTGAAAACATGCCATGAAGGGTTTCCATCACTCATTTTAAGAAAGAGAAACAATTTGGAAACCCCATCTGCAGTCCCTCCAGATGGGAAAACTAATTTCCTAAGCCTCTGGGGTGAGTTGTGGGGAGTTTCCAGTTAATTTATGGAAAAAGAAGCTAGCTTACTAGTTTTCCCAAACAATTGTCCACTGCCCTCCCCTGCAGTTCCAGCAAGCAAGCAATCTTCAGCTTTTCAGTCAGTCAGCCTTATTTTTTAAAGTCAGAGAATTGCGTCCACAAGCCCTCACTCCCCAAGCGCACCCTGCAAGCCAGTTTGGGCAGTTAGAAGCATGTGTGTCCCAGAAAGAGACACAGCCTCATCTCGCGCCAGGGCAAATTAAACTAATGCAAATGACCAAGTAAAGGACTCAGGCCACTGGGGCAATCAGGGAATCTTTAGGGTATTTAAAAGGTTATCTATTTGTGTACATACAAGGAAGGTTTCTGGTGTATTTAATATAGATGATAGGGCATTTCTCAAATACTGTGTACATAGGATCTGCTGTTAGCAGCAAAACCTCCATAACCCACCCCCACCCCCACCACCCCCCAATGCAATTGACAGAGGTTGGGAATGTGGCAGGCTCCAAGAGATCAGGGATAAAGAAACTAAGTATGTTGGACGCAGTAAAGCAGTGCTCAAAGCCTAAAAACTGAGCACAGCTACTTGAAATGCACCTTTAACCAGCCCCGTCCATTTAAAAAGGGTCAGTTTCTTCACAAGTGGGCACAGGGAGTGACTGAGCAGTCAATTCTCCAGATGGCAATTTGCCACTCAATTTCCTCCTTTGTTCCATGATCGGTTCTGGTAAGTGCTTATGCCAAAGCTGAGAAGCGCAGAGCCCAGGTGAGGCCTCCAGCAGAGGAAGCTGAGTCAAGCTCCTGCAGAAGCTTACTACTGTTTGAAGCTCTCAATTTCAGCCTCAAGAGGTACAGCCAGAAGACCACTAAGATCCGGCTGCTTACTTTAAACAAGACTACATCTAACCAACCTCGAGGAGAGAAGTATTAAGGTAGGATTTTCCCTTGTGGTCACTGCTTCCCTAGCATGGTTAACACTCGTTCTTGGGAAATCCCTGTTCCAAACACCTAAAAACAGCATCTCCAGCCCAATCTCTGGGGTAAGTCATTTCTACTCCATATGTCCAGTGACTGCCATTCCCTTTATGTTACCACACGAGCTTGAATCCTGTTACTAATTTACCCGTTTATCTAGGAACACTGGCTAAGTGAATTAAAGGAGTGTTCAGAAACAAAGTTTAGATCTGCTCTAAGTTAAAGCAGCCCAGGTCAATTTCAATTTTGTTATTTTAAGACTTGAGAAGCACTGTTGCTAATGACATCAAACATGAAATGCCGTGCAATGAAACACACCCTGAATTACTCTCATTCCGACCAAAATCCCTTCCGAGAAGAGGGGAGAAGCCAGGGCTGGGCCTGGACCAGGAAGGGCCTCCCCTACCTGTGCGACCCGGGCAAGCCACGCCCACGGGCCTCTCTGGGTTCAGTTTCCTTTTGGGTCAACGGAAGGAGTGGGCCTGCGCGAAGGTTTAGGCTCCTGGGTCCCAGCACTGGGGCCTGCTCACCCCATCACGCAGACAGACGCAAACTTGGCAGTTTCAGCCTTAAACCTGTTGGCAAAATAAACAAAGCCAAATAACGGGGAAACTGCCAACCTGAACTGTCTGAAGCGATATGGTCGACTCCACACACGTTGTCGCTTTGTCCCTGAAGCTGTTACAATGCTAAAGGCAGGTGCCCGATGTTCATTAGCCAATGACCCCTGGTATCCCGCGCAACCTTCCAAGGCTATCGTTATTGTCTACCAATTAAAGCGTTTCGCAAACTAAACCCCTCCACACAATGACATGCTACCAGCGCTTACACATGAGTTTACCGTCAATGTCTTAACAGTCACACACCAAATTCTCCCAGAACCACTTGATGGTTAAATCGCCCTGAATAAACCGAGAGGGCAGAGCGTGGTGAGAAACTTTGTTTCAGGTGGCTGTAAGAGTCCAGTAAATCTGGGACAGGACGCACAGCCTGAGACCCGGCACAAAGCGCCCTTCGCCCAGGCGAGGACCTCCTTTATGCGATGTGACAGCAGCTTTGTGCGGGATCATAAATAGTTCCAATAAACACAGTAAGTTCTCCCCGCCGCGCTCCGCCTCCCGGGTCCCAGCGCAGGGGCCGGGCAATCAGCAGCTATTCTTCGTAGGGACTCCCGCCCCGGCGACCCCGGCCACCACACAGTTCCACGCCAGCCCCCGGTTCCGGGCCCGCCGCCGGCCCATAAGCCGGGCGCTCCCCGCGCACCCGAGGGTCTCCGGTCCCGGGAACCCACCGCCCAGGCCCCTGCCCCCGCCCGCGCCCTTGGCGGCGTCCCCACCCCAGCTCCGGCCTCCAGAGGGTGGGCGCCGGCGGGGGGAAGATGCGGAGTCGGAAGGTGCCAGCAGTGCGGGACCACGGGGCCAGGCCGCGGCGGGGCCGAGGGCACCGGTGGGGCGCGGAGGGAACCGGTCCCCCGGCCCTTTCCCGGGCGCGCCCTACCCCGCGAGCCCACTGCGCTCCAACTCTGCGGAGCGGCCCAAGTTTGCGGCCCCCACCCCGACACCGCCGGCCGCGCTTACCTCTCCG